CCCCAGGCTGGACTCGAACCCACAACCTGCAGCTTTACCCGCAGACCACGAATCCAATGCCCTTAACCACGAGGCCACAGCACTATGGCATAATACTGGCATAATACCATGCTCAGCATTTCTGCTCAGCATTTAGTTTTAAAAACCTTAACATGTTCATTGATATATTTTCATTTACATACACCTGTGTCCCCTTATCACTTTTCTTGGGTATTTCGGACCAGTCGGGTTCATATGTGGGGGTGCAAGAGATCTCAGATGAGTATTGTGACTAAAAATTGATAATGAGCTGTTCAAGTAAGCGAAGCCTAGTCAACACACGGATTACGAAGAGTACAGTACAAACAGACGTTTCTAAAAATGAGTAAAGGCGAACAAACATCTAAGCACTGGACCATGACGACAGAGTTGGGATGAGAAAGGATGCGCTCAGAAGATGAGGATTGTAACCAATGTTACATAGAGAGAGAGAGAACTTTGCTTGAGAGAATCGGTCATATCTCCAGTTATGATCTTTCTGTTTGCAGTATGAGTTGATGTGGACCACATCATGTGTTGAGACCAAAAAACCGAAGGACTGAACCATGACGACAGATTTGAGATGAGGAAGGATGAACAGATAAATGATGAAAATGCGCACAGAAGATGAGGATTGAAACCAATGTCACAGAGAGAGAGAGAAGGTTGGTTGAACAATCGGCTATATCTCCACTTTTGATCTTTCTATTCGCAGCGTGAGTTGATGCGGTTGAGAACCAAAAGGTCAAGCCGGAGGCAAAACATTGATGAGCATGCGATGTTCCGAGGGCATTGACTGCGGAAGATTATTTCTGTCTGGAGCCCCGCGGGAGGTTTCTGCCCAAGGACGTGACACGCGCGTCCCTCCCCTTCGTTGACGATTGTTCCTTGACTCCCCTGGGGGACAAATGCCCTCACCACACAATGACGAGATTTCTTCACACAATGACAAGAGGCGAAGGACGAGTTGCTATCGTCATCATCTTCAGACCCTTTCGATTTCCTCTGCAATAGCAGCCATCGATTGGAAACAAAAACATGAATGAGATTTTGCCTGCTGTGACCACCATAGGTGGTCATCTACCACAAAGGTATACATAGGTGCATCATAAGTGGCTTCAATAATAATATGGAAATCAACATACCATTCCAACAATTCAATGAGAATATTTTCTACCCGAAATAAATACGTTTTGCTTAGTCTCTACCCGAAATAAATACGTTTTGCTAAGTCTCCAAATATGAAGATTGCCGCACACTTTAAGAGCTATACATAAACACATTTCGTGCTAAACAGAGTTTCTTTTCAGACAGGCAAACTTAATGCTTTAATGTACTATTCCTTGACAAGTCTGAAATAGATGATCTAGAGATGTCCACAACAGTCAACATATATTTATTTTTTACAATTAAATATCAAATTTATTTCCCTACGCCATTTTGTTCCGTAAAACAACGTAATGCTATAGTAAAACAAAAATTGTATTCGTCAATAATGCTCCGTAACTGTTTCAGACGTCGAACTCAATACAAATCTTCGAAATAAGTTAATTCGTTCGGAGTCTCGAAGGGACGTTTGAACAGGGTCAAAGGGCAAGTAGAACTCGGAATCGATTCGATAAATTCAATATTGCCACTAACACGGAGGCACGGTTACTTTAAACATATGAGTGACTGCATGTCATTATAAACAACCGGCCAATGGAAAGACACACAATGTGTACTGTAGTCAACCGAATCATGTTGGTGACTACATTATGTTATTGACTATCACCGTGTTATTGATATTTTTTTATCACTATGTTATTCACTATCACTATGTGATGTATTTGTATTTATCAGGCATGGCTGAGTTGTGTCAACATGTCAAAAGTGGTTTCAGAAGAACAGGCCTTCGGTGCGTGTTCGTCTTTGACATTCTGAGCAAATCATTTTGTAAAAATCACAAGGACTGTTTGTTGTTGTTCCAGTCTACTTTTTTTCGGCATACAATTGCTCTTTTTTTTGGTCACCCATCGACCCGTTATACGCGGGGCAAGTTAGTTGCAAGGACGAATGGCCAATTATTAACAGTTAGGTTGGCATAAGATTTTTTTTTCCCGAGAACGTGCATCGATAAAGCTCTCCTTGGTTTGGCATCATGTTGCCGCGATAATGCAATATTACTTCAATTTCAAGCCATAATTTTGATCATTTAAAGGGCCCATGACATTATTCTTACTTGGGAACATATTTCGTACACCTTTCTACTCCTTTTAGTGTATGGAAACTATTTGACATCCCTTTTTGGTTAATTTTATTGGAAAGCGCACTCCTTTAAACATTTAAAATGTTCACGTTTTATTGGACAACTGAGGGCGCTGTTGCTGTGATATCGTTTCAGTAAGACACTGTTCAGTTTAGTGGTTTTCTGTGCAAATTGTGAACCTAAAAATGTGTTAAATGAAAAGAATTGTGAGAAACGTTTGCTGATTGGCTTACTTGTACTGACACCACAACGAATCACAAGAGAACGAAAATGTGCACAACAAAAACATATCCAAAATTCTGGCAAATTTTTGTGTTGAAATACTCTGCAACATTGAGGTTTCTGCCCGAAATGACATCACACATTTGCTCATGAATATGGAAATTTGCATTAGCTTAAAAACAAAAAAAGGCACCGAAATACCTTTGAAAATGGCAAAACGAAACTTGAAAAATAAGGTTAAATGGGACACAAAGGTGCATTTTCAAGGATTGCCCCTTTAATCATGTATTTCGTCCGTGTACATTACAACAATGCAGCCAATAATCCCGTTCGAGAGAAGACAGTGAAGGAAATTAATGTCCGTTGTAAAGCGTTCGAGGAAATCTCAACTTTTTACTCGGCTAAAAAAACAAGCCAATCAAGTAAGGAATATTAGAAAAGCAGGCGCGAATCGAACCGGGGTCACTTCAGCAGAGGCTAGGGGGTATGATGGACCCAGGCCAGCTCAGTGGTCGAGTAGTTCAGATGTCTGTATGAGTTTTAAAAGCAAGAGGTCGGGGGTTCGAGTTCCACCGAGCAAGCTTGTGCTTTTGTCCCTCGCACAGCACTGTCTGTTCAATTTTCATAAAATAACGACGCTATTGTGAGACTCCTTCTGTAAAAGGTTTAATAGGAAGGTTAACCATCAAAAATTGCTACAGTGCTTAGATTCCCTAAACCAGTGATGAGGAACACAGTGTAAAAGTTACTTCGACAGCTATAATTCTTTTGGCGATGTAAACTTGGAGTACAAGTGGAAATATATGCTGACAAAAGAATAGTGGGACAAGAAATATTATAAAAGGTTACTTTGAAATTCATATGTGTTTGAACTTTGGAAAACAGGCTATAGTGTGGGTTCCACAGCCTTCGTGTCCTAGTCGAGTATAGCTTTCACGGAGTTCTAGTGTATTTGTAGGAAAAAAGTGCACGCGTACGAACGAGGATTGCAACAACACTTTGTACAACTTCCAATTTTGAGCTTTTTAATAAAAATGAAAGGAAGGGCATGATCAAGGGGGGGGGGGACTCAGAGGGCGGCTTTTGCAATTTCTGTTGCCGTTTTAATCTCCGGGCGGCACTTGTCAGGAAAAGAACCCCTCAAAAAGTACTCCAACTCGTCCTCTGTCAATTTTTAACGTTCCTCTGTCCTGGTATGAAAACAACTCCCAGGGATCGTTGTGACAACAAGACTTCAAAAAAAAAACACTCTATAATCTGAGATCCGACATGGCCAAGTACCAAGGGGCTGACAGCTTTGGCATTTGAGGACAACACCGGATATTTCCTCCCATTTCTCCTGCGCAAAAAACATCGATTTTTTTTTCAACCAGGAAGGCGCGGGAAGCCAAAATACGACCGTGTTGGATAGGGAACCGCATCCGAGTCCTCTCCTCGACCAGAACGGGCCGCTGTACATACCCGAGATAATACGTATTATTGCCCGTTATTGGGCTCCACAGGGACATCCAGTACAACTTGTCAAAACCCTTCCCTTCTCACTGACGGGAGAAACTGATTGTCGGTGCGCGATGAATTTTAATCGAAATGACAAGTCAAGCACGCGGCGAGTTGGGAAGGAACTCATACCCGAGTCAATATTGAGGGTCTCGCAACAACATGGGCACATGGAGAGGCTGATTCATCGAGTTGAACTGAACGGAGAAGTTGACGTTCAGATTATGAATATCGTGATGTATGGCTCTCAATCATTTCGGGACACAAGTATGTCAAGCGGCGTTTATTCATCCGGAATTCAACTACCACAAGTGCATGGGATGAATTTGTAACCAAAAAATGCTATTATGATCATGCAATTAATTTTTGAATTGGGGTTGGCCGGCTAGTAGTGTAAAAGCAATATACGCACGTTGCCAATGACAGTTACTCGTGGCCAATACCAGAACCGAAAGGTTTTGACGGAGTTTCATAAAATAGCCGTGGACAACACAAATGGATTTATGTTTGTTGTTTAAATGTCGACATAAAAAAAACGAAAGTTCACAAGCTCCGCATCTAAATTACATGAAAAAATAGAACGGATAAAATCTTCATTGACAGAGACCGAAAACATATACTCAAATTTATTGACCGTTTACAGTAGCGAATCTGGGGGGGGGGGGGTTGCCCTCCCCCCCCCTCCCGTTTAGCCGCTGACTAAAGTTATGATACTGGTAAAATGGAGCAAAAATACTAAATGGAATACTAAAAATCTTAAATTTATATTAAAATTGCCTTAGAATGCAGGAGAAAGCGTCGTAGATTTCAAAATTTTCCGGGGGGGGGGAGCCCCTGGACCCCCTAGCAAGGCGTGCCTTTTTAGCACACCTTCACTCAACCCCCCCCCCCCCCCTTCATATCAAACACCTGAAAGCTCAATGAACTGGTTGCAATAACAGGGCTTAAAACTATACGAATTGGTGTCCGATTGTAACCATCAATCTCAGAATCGTCCATAAGCCGAAACACTTACTTTGCCGTTGCGTTTCCTTGTCACTAAATGGAGTGAGGTTCAAAACGTCAGTGCTCGAGTAAGTCAAAGAGGGGTCCTGGAGCGGGCTGAAGTCAGAAAGATGCCAGATTTAACTCTCTTTTTTTCCAGACTCAAAATCAGAGGCAGCGGGAGGCATATCATTACACACATAAGGTCACGACGATGTCGACTCCAATATCTCAAGATCCGAGGGAAAATATTTTAACCGATCATCGCCATCCTTGTATAATAGTCGTGGCATCCAAGTTGGCTCGCCAAGGAAGAGTTCACCCCTAGCCCTTTGCCAATAGGCTCGCCTCGCATGATCCGGGAATCCAAGCACGCTGTGACTATATTACCACAGACTCTCTCGACAGGCAGAGTCCATGACTATTATACCCTGTCCACATCAGACAAAACATTCCGCTTTATGGGTACATCATCTGCAGTCCTGCCGGTCCCCGCGCTGTATATTTACCCAAGACCCAAAGTACACCGTTCCGGTGTACGGGCCGACAATGGCGGTTGAGGGGGTAGCGTAAGAGTCTTTGCACGTTTCGAAGTCATCCTATTAAACTTTTTCTTTGGTCGGTATATTGGTCGGCGCGTATATTGACAATGCTCCGACGAGTGTGGGTTTTACAATGAAGGGAATCGCAGTTTGACGCGAACACTCACAAGTATTTGGTCATCCCTTTTTGAAGAAGGAAAAAAAAGCTGGGCCAATATTTGAATGCGGGGTTCGCTCGTTCGCTGATGATGACGATGAAGAGGTTTCATTCAAAAGAGTCGCGGGGGAGGGAGGCCTGAGCTTCGGGACTGCAGGCAATTTAAGATTACTTGACTGACAGATTGGATCGAGATATGAGTTTTTTCGGTCCTTATTTTTTTTCCTCACAGCTATTATTTGTGTTTGACTAGGCAGTGCAATTTTATCCCTCGTCACTTTTAGATTTAGGTCTCATACAATGCCGTTAAGTATATTCACAATTTGACTTCTTGTTAGCACACACGTTGACATTTCTTTATCATGGAGACTACAGACACTTTTTTCGTTCCCAGTTGCCCGTTACGGCCTTTACCATTCATCCCGTAACTAAGGATCCCCAGATATGCCACCCAACTTGTGTAAATACTTCATTACTCGAGTCAACAGAGCATAATGCTTGCGCATACATTTTGATTACCAAGAACGCCTTCGCCGTGTACCGTCGGGATCACCTGAACAAACCAGGGTTAGGAGTACCAGGAATAATGTCACTCGGTTTGATTAACGATTTGTACAAATTAATAGAAAGTTGCAGAAGTCCCCTGAACTATATGCAATGATATTCACGTGTAAACACGGATGTATAATCATTCCTCAACAAATTTTGAAATGGTTTAAACACGTGGCTATATATTGCGACCACTCGGTGTCCTCCATCAACGCTCAAAACATGAGCAAAACATAAATGATCAGCATGCTTTCATTCTGACGGATCTTCATCCCCGCATGATAGCAGTATACTGTAGAGAGATATTCCTGGCTCGGACAGCTGCACAAATAGACACTGGGTCCCCAATGAAATGCAGCAAAACATCGTTTACTGATTGGATCTCCTTAAGCCGAAAAGCAGGTATCTCTTTGAGTTGTCGTATACACCCACGGAAAAAAAGCGCATTCACAGAGCAATTAGAACAGACAGGAAGTATTGGGGAAAAGAATCTGGTTACATTTATAATTAAAAGTCATTAATATTATTCGTGTAATGGTACCATTAAGGAGACACGTTATCGTAATTTCTTCGCACCATGGGAGACATCGGTCATTAGGAGACATTTTCATGTCTCCCTAATGTCACAGCCCCCCTTTAGAGGCACAATTTTACTGTCGCAATTAGATTATATTTGTTGCTCGTGGTTTAGTAAACATACCGAAATTCGATGAGAAAGGATGTCGATGAGGATGTCTCCCAAATGTCCTATCCAGGGTAATTATTACACTTCAAATTATTAAAATCAATTAGGGCTACTCTAAAAATAACGAAGAGGTATACAAAATGATTATTAATTATGGGAACGGTACCTTTGACAGACAATCCCACAGACTTGTGCACCGAAAAATCCGAACTTTAATTACACTTAATTAACCCTAACCTACACTTAACCTACCGTCACCAGACTTTGTAAATGTGGGTTTTACATCATGAGTAATCGATTTAGGCTATTTGCGACATGAAAGTTAACCCTATAGAAATAGGACTTGAAACATTAAGGAGACATTCAAATGTCTCCTTAATCTACCTGATCTCCCTATTAAAGGTACAACCGTTTTTGGCAAAAGGTGTCTCCATTTTGCGAGAACTAGTGGTGACATTATGTACCCAGTCATGATGAATGAAAGTGTACCAGTCACCCCTTTAACTTGAACACCGACCTGGCCGAGTAGGTGTTGAGATTCCCGTTCGGCCACACTGGCTGAGGTTGAGAGGAGCCCTCAAGCGTCAGGTGTAAGAAAACCTACACCGGACGGCACCCTTAACCTATTAAAAATAACGCGCGAATCGCAGCACGAGACATGCTTTCGGGGATCAAAGCAACGTGCCAAATGTTCTTAAAACAACCACGTTCGAGATATTCGTTCACGAAGACAAAACAATCTGATATCCAACCTCGTTCTCAAACATGTAAACCAGAGTATGGACAGACCAGATATACCTTCCTATGATTCATTATTGAAGATAGAGTTTGAAATGAAGACAATTATACCCTTGGAAAGAGGTGTTAAATGTCAAAACAAATATATTTGTTAATATATACCTGAATAAACATATCTAATAATAACTAAACGTTATTCAAAACAATAATAAAATAAAGTTTGGCTATGACTTCTTTTAAAACAAAGTCCACATTCAACATTCATTTTTTAACGTTAATTGCCCATTGACTCATGTTATTGAATGTTTTGAATGTAACTTTTTTTTCATTTTCAATTTAAGCATTCTTAGTCCGTCACACAGGGGTGTGAGTGACCAATGACAAAAAAAGCTGAAAACAGCTTAAAAAGGTGTAAAAAAGCTGAATTCTGGAAATCTCCTATACTTTTGTACACAGCAAGTGAGGGAAAAGCTGAAAAAAAGCTGAAATCCAAAACAAAAAAAAGCTGAAATCAGCTTTAAAGCTGAGATTTCACACCCCTGGTCACAATATGTGGTTCAGCATTCCTTTAACACGGCACTTTTATCAATTAAATACACAATACTCCATGTTCGCTATACTGTAACATAATCCACATGCATCCACACAGACATAATGTTCCAAACGTACCATATCACTACCATTCAGAAGGATTATTCCGGCCTAGTTCACGCAGGTCTTAGGCGTCATATTGCACCATTCAAACATTCATCCGAATCTGTTTCCAGACATTTGATGCACGTTATAATGTATGCCAACAATGTCAGGGGAAAAACGCAACTGATATTACAGGTGAAGCGGAACGAGTGGGTACGTGCGCGTACTTTCTGATTCGCGCTGTCCGATCGAGCGCGCTCTGCTTCGGCCTGAAGGAGTGCATATTCTCCCCCAGGGGCCACAAGACAATACATCATAAAAATAAAAAATCACGGGTGTTGTATAGTGCTAGGATACTCCAGTATATGCAACCAGGAAGAAATGATTATTGTTTATGTCGTCTGAACAGTGGTTGGTGGGGAGGGGGGGGGGGGGGGGGGGGGGGGAGGGGGGGGAGGGGGAGGGGGGGGTAGAAAATGTGCAATGTGCCGGTAATGTAATGGGAAAAAAATAGTACGGTCGCACGGGGAAACCGCTTGGATTATGAAGCGAGAGGAATGCGCGGGCGGTGGTCCACGAAATGCTGCGATCGCTTTCATGAATTTAGACCAAAGATTCGTGGATGATTTCCAGGCGTGTCTAATGAAAACATTAGCGAGTCATGACAACGCCTTAGACTGATTGCCGACTTCGCTAATTGCAATCGACGGAGCGGAATTTGCATGGCATTAAAATGCTTAAGTGGCTGTATGTAACATCATTGATTCACCTGCATAGTGTATGCTCTAAATTAGGTACAGCGCACTTTTCGTTACGGTTAATGTGATGTCGGCGTATTTGTAGTAATGTCCCGTTAAAAAATAAAGAAAAAAAAAATTCTGACAGAATTAGCAGACGCTTTGTACTTTAATTGTCACTGAATTTAAACAACAAACCCTGCCCACAGTGAGGGCGCTCTGTGGAGGCTCTTCGTTCATAATCGGGGTCAGCAAACACTTTTGGCTGCGTGTCATTGAATTAGTTCTGTAACAACCTCGTTCCCAGGGTGTCGAGCAGTACGCTCCCACCACTACCTGCTACCCCACCCTGGTATTGGATCATTTTGCATATCCCAAAATTGTTGAATACGTATGCAAATGAGGAATAGTCTGGTGCCTGCCCGTGCTTTACATCAGCGTTTGTTTTTGTAAGTCTGGGGCAAAAACAGAATCAATTCGTCGCGGAGTGAGTTACGAAGACACCAGTTTTTTCAAAGTTAAAATGTTACAATCTTATTTAGCCCATATGCACATTTCATATTAATATGAGCATATTGGAAAGCAAAGTATTCTTTTTGAGGTCTTGACGTCATAATTACGATGAACGTCAAAACACGTAGGCCTAATACACGTTGAAATAATAACACCAAGTACACGATATAAATCCATTACCTGCTAATTGCGCCATCGAATCAGGATACAGGAAGCAAGTTCCCATCTATCGGAAACGAGGTTGAAAATACAGTAAGCCCTGGTGACGAGGTGGTTCTGTAAAGCAAAAGTCCAGGCTGGTACCGATCTCCTTTCATTGAACAGCGATGTGGAAACTGCTTTTGCCTTTGTGGAACTAGACCAATATGGCCTCCGTAGGCTCCGTGACTGCACAAAGCTCTACAATTACACTTAATCCCATGATGACTGCGGTCTTACAAGAACAGCAACATCCAGAAATGAGATATCAAGTATCAAGTGAACCAAGGTGTAACATCACCCGATGAAATTCATCGTAAACACGTAAAGTCATTTTGTACGTTGCAAAAAGCGCCACGGAGTCCCCACGGCAGTACTTATCGGCGTCAGCGACGTACGGCGCGTTAGCGTCGAGAACAAAAAATACCCATTAGGCACAACCTTTTTTCCCTTTTTTTTTTGAGGAACATAAAAAAAATCTTTCCAGAAGTCGCGAAGAAGTAATCAAGTATAGAAATGTGAATTAACTCGTCGAAGCGCGTGCCATTGTCGAGCTGGTCTCAGTGGAATATTATATTATAACCAGCAGTCCTGGTTTACCGCATTTGTAATTACAAAATCTAGGCACTATTTATAAACTAAACAGCGTTTTCTTACGGTGATTTTGATCTTGTAAAATTCGTGTAATTTCATTCACATTCACGGCTAAATGCCATGGATATGATA